TCTGAGTTCATGAGCAAGACCCTTAACCCCACACTGCTCCCCAAGGGGATGGGTTAAATGTAGAGGTAAATTTCTCCAATGTGAGATCAATAAAATGCTGTTATTATTAATAAATAAATGATGTTAAAAAATATAATATTTCAACTTCATTGGTCCATGCATCATGCTGTCAGGATAATACTGGCATAACCCACTGGATTACACCTCTCCTGTGGAACCAACTACCAGTTTTAGTCCGTGAGGCAGACACCGTCTCTACTTTAAGGTTAGGCTTAAAACTTCCCTTTTTGATAAAGCTAATGGTTAAAATGGTTCAGGTTATCCTGAGCTATCTCTATAGTTATGCTGCTATAGACTTAGACTGCTGGAGGACATGGGGACCCTTATTTCATCATTCTGCTTCATTCTAGCTCTATTCTTCCACTCTGCAGAATCTGTTTGTTCAATCTCTAACGTTCTGCTCTCTCTGCTTTTTCTCGTCTGTTCCTGTTTGGCTTTGACTCCATCCTGGAGAGGAGTATCGGCTGTGTAGCTGCCATCAACACCTTTGTTTATAGATGTTGGAGATCGGCCTGTTTTTCAGTGTAGTCCTGTTTATCTGTCGCTGGCTGGAGGTGCTCTCTTCATCCTTTGACATGTGAGCTGGCTCAGAGCTCTTCTTCCTGGCTGTGTGTTTCCTGGACGGGGCCGCCTTTTACAGGGAAATCTGTTCTCACACTTGTGCCAAAACGAATGTAAGTAAAATGCTTCACTGTACAGCCCTGCCTATACGGCGTTGCTATTTCTACACTATAGGGAGGAAATGAATCAGGTCTCTGCAATAATCTATAAAAACTGACTTTAAGACTTTTTTACATCATGGATGTCATTAGGTGGGACAATGCTTTGTGAAACTTGGATCAAATAGAATTCCTCTAAAAACAAATACGGTATTCCATTTATTAGCTTAGTCATGCAACTATAAATCATAGCTCTGTTTATCCAACCACAGCCTGTGGTGTTTCCTCTCAGGTATGTCTGGTATTTTGTGAATTTCATCAAAGCCTGTTCGTCTGGATTCAAACTTCCTGCCATTTGACTCACTTTTCTGATGTAGATAATAATGGCTTTGTAAAGGTTTCTACCTTTGGAGCTCTGTCTAATCCTTGCCATTTGAACAACTAAGAGAAAAAACAACTTTGCACAGGAGAACAACGCAAGCAAACTTTAACACATCCATTGGTAAACACATTTTAAAAGGAAAACCAATCCCTCAAGTGAGCCATTTATTCCTTTAATCTATAAGCTTTAGTTTGAGTCACTGCCACCCGGGTCATGCTGTCAACCTTCTCATTTATCATAGTTTATTTTTTTAATTATTGCTTTTACAGATTCCACCCCAGTTCAAAAACAGTTACCTCTCTGCTCACTTCCTATGATATAAAACATTTATAAATAGAAACAAATTTCCAGAGACATCACAAATGGAAAATATCAAGCTTTGTCTAAAACAATCTTTATTAAAATTTTTGAATTACCACATAGAACGAACCCAGGAGCTACGGATTACGAGATTCAAGCAATTAAATGACTCCAGATTTCTAATAAATTGTTGAAAGAACTAATTTACTGCTGAATCTAGAAATAAAAGTAAAAAATCCTTTAGAAATAACAGACTTTGTTTTGGTGGAGGCCTCTACACTGTGAGTCATATTAAAACTGCTGCTTCTGGAAGGAAAACCACGGTAATAAACAGGCTTAATAGGAAAGATAAAGAGAGACATTACCGAAACATTGATGATATATAAACAAGAAATCTCTTTCCAGGTAAAACCTGATGCTTTAACATGGGGGCAGTAGCTGGTTTAAAACAAGACCTTTAGCAGAGAACCTTCGGCCATGAGGTCAATCTTGTAAAACAACTTCAGTGTCTCAGGTTATAATGTCAGTTGAAGGCATTAATCACAGGGATGGATGAACTGGATCATTTAGAAATACTTCATGACGTCATAGAGGCATTTATTTGATGGGATGATGAGTTATTAACTCTTGAATTGTTGCTGATGTTCACAAATGCATTACTTTTTACAACAGAACTGTCGTAAGATCAAATGGGAATAGGTTGTGCAGATTGGTAGGAGGTTTATATGCTGAGAAGGAACATTTCAGTCAAACCAGAAAGTGCAGCTGGGTCAGGATTAGCAACACTAGGGTCAGTGGCTTCAAACAGCTGAAACTGAACCCAACGACCGCATTCTACTGATAGTAGAGTGCAAGTATCAGCAGCCAGATGGGCGTATGAGGTGATACTGGTCTTGTTTGCCCAATGCACTACAGTTCACCAGCTGTTCTTTCACCATAACCCTGATGTTCTTTAGATAACAAGCACTCATCTGATACGGGTATATATGCACCTCTTTTTTGAATATTTCAGTTTCACTTGAACTTTTTAGATAATTTCGGGGATTAGCAGGAAATTTGAGAGTTAATGAAGGAGCTCAGCTCCTCTGATTTCCCACAGCTGACCAGCAGAGGGAGCTGTTACACAATAATCATCAAAACCATTGGCTCCTGAAATTCTCATCAATTCAATCATCATCCTCTTTCTGCTGGTCTTGTCCTGTGATGGCCAGTGTTCTGTCAGTTGAGCATACCCAGTCAGACCAGCATACCCATAGCCAATACCCGTTTATCCTTTTAATTTATCCCCCTTTATCCCTTTAGTTTATATATTTAGTTTATCTCTTTAGTTTTGTACGAAAATAGACTTTAAACTACCTCAGTGGACGAGTATCCCTTTAGTAATGCACAAAAAAAACAATTAAATTTCTTAGTTTTTGGTGTTTTTTGAAGCGTATGGTGATCTGAGCTTAAATTGTTTTGTTTTTTTTGTAAATGACTAAAGGCATACACGTCTTTTGAGGTAGTATGAAGTCGAATTTTCATAGGCAACTAAAAGGATAAATGAAAATCTGATGTCTTGCGCCTGCGTATTGACTATGGGTATGCTGGTCTGATGGGGTATGCTCATCTGACAGAACAATGGTCCTCCATAAAACCCTGGGGACACTGGCAGTTAAGTCCCACTGTATATCCTTCAGTGTGTTATGTGATTTATTTTTTTCTTACCAGAGTTGCATATTTTGCAGATTCTGAATGTGATCTTTGTAGGCAATAAAGCTCGTCTCTGTTTTCACCTCTACATCCCCCTAAAACACCCCCCTCCACAGTGAAACACAGTGGCGGCAGTATTATGGACCAGAGGAAGCTAAAGAACAATCCAGAAAGAGAAGCTGTGAGGGAAGGCAGCGGAGAAGTGTTTTATTGAACTGGCTTATTTTGTAAATCAGGCTTAGTTAGCCAAGTCTGGCTTATATTGAGGTCATTTAGGTTTCATAAAGCTGTCTTCCTATGAGTATGACTCAGTTACTATGGCAATCAAGGCAGCAAAGTGTATCTGATCGCGACAGGTTTAGAGCTGACAGAGTTTAAATTATTGTCTTCTTTGCTGAATGCACCATGGGGCTCCATAAGAGACAGACAGGGTATTGACCACTTTATCTTGCCCTAATATATGGGAGCAGTAACAAGTAAAATGCAAATAATAAAAAATAAATCATATAATAAACTTTATACACAATTTAAATTATTTTTTTTTTGGATTGCATTGTGTTTTTTTTGTTTTTTTTTTGTGTAAAAACTAGTTACTTGTTGAATAAAATCTGACTAAACCTGAATTAAAAGCAGCATTGGACTAAAACTGTGACTAGGATCTCCAGCCTAAAACTAAACTATAAGAAGGAAAAAGTATTTAACTTTATTTTCATTAAAATCATTCACATTTTCATCCAACAATTAAGACGTACACTTATTTAAAATAAAATAAATCCTTATTTAGTTTAAATTTCATATCAAATTCAGATGTTTCTTGAAATAATGTGTATGATCTAAAGGTGACATTTTACTCATTTAATGTCAACAATGGCTTGCCATACCCTCTCCCAGGTTACTTTTTTAAGTAAATGTATGAACTAACTTTAAAATATGAGACAGGAGTCTGTTCAAAATCAAAAATGTTTTCAAACAACAAAATAAAAGAAACTGTGTTATATGAAGTTCACTTAATCAGTGAAGAAGCCACATCTTATATGAGAACAAACGCATCACTTCTCACGTAAACATAACTTTCACTTTCAAAAAAAAAAAAAAAAGCTGTGAATTTCTTTAACCTTTTTTACATTCTTATACACCAAATTTTACATTTCAGATAAATATTAGTACATTAGAAATCAAATTAATTGGAATGGCACTATCATCCACTAATTAATATTAGGCAGTGATGCAAGTTGCAATCTTTTTTTCTAATTTGAACAACCCTTCCTTAAGAACAATCTGTTTTTTCCTGACTTATTTGTGAAATTGAATTGTGGGCAATGTATTTTCTTCTAAAATTTAAGCAACTTTTAAGATCAGCGATATTTAAAGGCCTGTAGAGGACGGACCCCATTACGTTTTCCTCCTTTAAGACAATTTTTTTTTTTTACTCAATAAGTTGCATATGACAATAACAACCATAACAAATTTGGGTAATTGAAGTATTGAATTCTGGGATGCATGTGAGTTTATAAAGTAGGTTTATCAGTACTGGTAATTATCTGGGTTGCACAGTGGATGGTGGGTGAATAGCTGCCTTGCAGCAAGAAGGTTCTTGGTTCGATTCTTGGCCGGGGTCTTTCTGCAGGGAGTTTGCATGTTCTCTCTGAGCATGTGTGGGTTCTCTCTGGGTACTCAAGCTTCCTCAAACAGTCCAAAAACATGACTGTTAGGATAATTGGCTTCTCTGAATTGACCTTAGGTGTGAGTGTTTGTGAATGGTTGTTGTCTCTGTGTTGCCCTGCGATGGACTGGCGACCTGTCCAGGGTGTACCCCGCCTCTCTCCCATTGACAGCTGGGTGACCCCAGCAGGGATAAGCATGACGGAAAATGGATGGACTGAACTTGAGAGAAAGGTTTAGTTCATTTGAGACCTTTTATTGCATGTCATCCTTTTTTCTTACAGCAGTTTTTACAATAGTATTGCAGTTGTTTTAGTAGTCATGTGCAAACCTTTTCCTGGAAAACATAAATCTCAGTCAATAACAATAGCACAAATACTAGGAAATCCTAAAAATAAATCTGAGTGGGCTCTATGTAACTACTCTTTACCAAAACTCAAGCAGGAGCCAGTTTATTGCTATGTGAGATAATACAACCAATACTGAATCTGTTGAAGAAGCTGGACAAAAAGTGCAAACAACAGCCAGTTTAAATTCATGGCAAAGTTTCACAGACACATCAAAGCTAACTTCATTAGAGCTGGTACAGTGGAGCTTGGGAAATGAGGTATGAATGAATACACCAACTGGTTTAACGGAACTTTAAAGAACTTCAAGTGTCATCTCTTAAATCTTGGTGCAGCTGGTAGTTTAGCTGATGATGGCTGATGAGCACATCTTGTTGATCCCACATGCATTTGATCCCCTGTAAAGGTAGTAGTAACCCTGCAGGAGAAAAACAAAATCAAACTCTTATTTTATAAATCTCCTTATCACATAATAAAACTTCAGCACACTTACAAGAAATCAGCTTAATTAATATACAGTTTAGGCTACATTTATTGCCTCCCCTCCTTCTGAGCTGGTTTGGGTCATCGTCCAGTTGAAGACTAATGTTCTTTCAGTGCTGTTGCTTTGCAGGAAAATAGTCCTGACTTTTTCCTGCATGGAGTTTGGAAGTTATCCCTGTGCAGGTGAATATTCTCTCTAGAAACTCCTGCTTCCTCTCACAGTCCAGAACCATGAATCCAGGGTGATTTTCTGTCTAACCTGCCTTTAGTTGTGAGTGTGTTGCATGGTTGTTAGTCCTGTGGTGACCTAGTGACCTGATCAGGGTGCCCCCTGCCTCTCACACAATGACTGCTGGAAAAAGGCACAATTATTATAATAAAAGAATGGATGTTTTATTCTTTTAAACAGTTCAGATGTTTCCAGGGTTTTAGGTGGATTAACATGCCGCCAGTTTAACAGATCCGCTACCATGGTAAATTGTCGGTATAAGTGTTTTTTTTTACCGTAGAGCTGAATTTTACATACATTATTTTAAAACATTAGATTTTTTTCCCCCTCACTGTCAGACTTGAAATCTGATTAGACCTTTCTTGTTTTCGGTCCATTATTGTTACCCAAATTATTACTGTTTTCTAAATGCCATAATTATGAAAGACATCATTTTTTTATGAATTTTTTGAAGCTCAGAGGTTGAAAAACATTTTGTTAATATTCCAAACCCTTGCCTTTAAACTGTTTGACTAGGGTTAAACGTTCTGAATACTGTTCCACAAGCTTCTCCCAAAAGTTGTCAGGAACTTTGACCCCGTTCCTCCTGACAGAACTGCTTTGATTGAACCTAGCTTGTCAGCTACCTTGCTAACACTCCCTTTTAGCTCTGCCCATGTATTATCAATAGGACTGGGATAATGGCTTTGTTATGGCCACTCTAAAACACTGACTTTGTTATCCATAAGCCTCTTGGTAACCAGTTTGGCTTTTTGTTTGGGTCATTGTCTCTATGGAAGCCTATTTGGCCCAAACCTCAACTTTCTTGCTGATCTCTTCAAATGTTGCATCAGGATTTCTACAAAATGATCTTTTCTCATGAAGCCGTCTATGTTGTGAAGTACACCAGTCCCTTCTGGATTAAAACAAACCCACAGCATGACGCTACCACCGCTGTGTTTCACAGGATGATGTTCTCAGGTTTAACTACGCTCATTATACCAATATGGTTCAGTCTCATCAGACCACAGGACATGTCTTTAAAAACAGAGCTGAGATGATTTCCTCCTGCAGAATAGCCTTTCAGCTATTCAGCTTTCAGCCAGCACCAAAACATGTTCATCTCTGGGACGACAAACCCTTCTCTGTCTGTATGATGGCTGGACAGTCCATGGTGTTCATTAGTGTTGGGCCCAGCAGTAAAACCCCAATTTGTTGAGTGTATTGCTTTATGAAAAAGTCACAGTATGGATATAGCTGCTGTTCTTGCCAATCACTGAGTCGCCAAATTGTTTCTAGAAGGCAGGGGTCAGGCCCCCCTGGGTGGTTGCAGAATACCATTAAATAAGTAGATATAAACTGTATTTATTTATCGTATCCATGATTCCATTTCACCATGAATCCATCTTATATCAGAGATCCAGTTGTTCTTCATGTTCCTAACAGAGCACTTTGCTCTAAATGTGCGGGTTTACTAGTGGTTCCTAGAATTTCTAAACATAGAATGGGAGGTAGTTATCAGGCCCCTTTCCAGTTTTAGTCTGTGAGGCTAATTTTAATGCAAGGCTTAAAACTTTCTTTTTTTGTAAAGCTTTTTGTTATAGTGGCTCAGGTTCTTTTTACATCTCGTTACAGGTGATGAAGCAGACTGAAAATGTTTTGTTATTGTCTCCTTTCTATCTCTTCTTTCTTTCATCTCTTCTCTTTTTTTTTTTTTCCTTTTTCTTCTTCTGTTTTTCTGCTCTATATACATTGCAGTGTCCATATAAACTGTAAAACTCCCTGCATAATTATAATAAAGCAATTTATATGCATGAAACAAGTGGAGCAATATGGTAATAGCCGTACTGCTACACTTGTGAAAGTAAAATCTGTTGGGCTCTTTTTGGCATCAAGACAATTATTCTTATTGTCACATTGCCAGAAAGGACACTGTAAACAAAAAATAAATAAATAAATAAATATAGTGGCTCAGGCTATTCTGAGCTCTCCTGTTTTTCAAAGTAGTGTTGGAATGGATCAGTCAGATCCAGATACCCAGTCTGGAAGATTACCAAACAGGACAACTACTCTGTAAAGGGCTGGTTATCCTCCCGCAGCAGTGTGTGGCAGTGAGCTTGTCGCAGATATTTTTTATTTATGCCCAATATTGAAGCGCGGTCTGCGCTATGTTATTCATCACCACAACTCAAAAGGGACATTCAGGAACTAGCTGTGGATCTAGATACGGCCAAGTTGGGGGGCAAGTTTCTGCGACAACGGAGGGACATAGGGGTGAAAAAAGAGCGGGGATGCAGGTGGTAAAATGGTCCCAGCAAATTCACGCATCTGAGTCTTCTAGCTGGTCCATCTTCACGAGTTGCCTTCCACAAAACAAGCCGGTAAGGAATCAAACAGGAAATACACATTGTGTAGAGAGGATGTAGATTTGACCAATCAGAGGCCTCCTGTCTGCAGTTACCTACAATTTTGGAGAGGTGCAGCAGAGTTTCTGCGGAAGGGGCGAGGGCATATTTGCGTTTACTGCGACACGCATGCAGACGACCTCGTTTGCATGCGTGGATACCTTTACACATCAATCCAGTAGATGTCAGTTTTATGCATCTGTGCTGCATTAAGCTTTGTTGTTAAATTATGTCTGATTAAAATGTGCAAAAGGGGTTGAGATATGTTTTTATGAAGCAAATGTATAGTTAGCTGTAGACCTGTATTACAAAGCTGAACAGGCTTTATAGCTTATCCTGTTAGCATGATTATAGAACAAGTGTAAACAAAAACCTTATGGATGAACAGGGTTTAATGTAGGCTGAACTGCATGTTCTACTGTTTTTTTTAAATCAAATATTAAGGTTTGATTACATTTTGGGCCTAAAATCTACATTGAATCCATCCTTCTTATTGGTTCAGTTAAATCCCTCTTTTTTTGAATCAAAGTGATTACAATCCTACTAGAACATTCTGACAATCCCAAACACAAGATCTGACCTGGATCAGAACCAGGATTGGATTATCTGATCTAATCCAAATGTGCAAAACTAGGATTAGGATTTGAAACTATCTGTTATTCAAAATCCAAGTTAAATACTGAACTGGGCCCTGGTTTCACCTGTATTCATTGTTTACTTCATACCACACCAAACTAAAGCTCCATCTACCAGAAAGGTCAGTCTGACTCAAAGAAGTTAGGTCCAGTTAAAGCCTCAGTTCAGTCTCTCAAACATCCTATTTACTTTCATGATAGCTGGATAGAAGCAGCATTAATTTTTGTAAAGCTTGCCAAAAAGCAAATTCAGCATGTTGATGGAGTCTAATGGCTGTTTCTTAACCTGGTGACCCACAGGTGGCGCTTTAGCTGCAGTTCTCTAAAAGGTAAACTAATAAAGTTTGTGTTTTTATCTTTATTAACATCCTGCTTAGTGTTAGCATGTTTGCATCAGCTAAGTATATATGTAGTGTTTTATACATACTAATCAGGATAAATTTACCTGCTCTCCATAGTCCTCCCCCCAGCTGTTTTTAATGGCCCAGAATGGGATGCCTTTCCCTGGAAATACAGCACAGAGAAAACAGATTGAAATACAGTCTGAACCACAAAGCTATCTCTCCTGATGTCATCAACAAAATGCATGACTGGGATGGATTATTTTCTAGCAAAAACAAATGTCAGCAACTATGGACAGCAACTTGGAGCCGTGCGTTTCCCCCAAAATAATTACAATCAAAAGAAATATACAGTATATGAATACAAATAGCCAGTCCAAAGAAAGAGAGGAAGTCTATAGAGAAAGAAATAAAGGTAAATAAAAGAAAGGTTAGGGGAGTTAGCTTTTATCATGGGGGTTGAGGAGTCCCCAGGAAAATTCTAACAAAGTTATTTCTGGTTAATTTAAATCGGTATGAAGCCAAAAAGAAAGAAAAAAAAACTATAAAGGAAAAACATGTTTATTTAAAAAATAGGAACAAAAATTGAGAAGAAGATGAAAGCAACATGACCTGGGGTGATAAAAGTGCTTAGAAATGTTTCTAAATCTACAGTTTCTCAATCGATTAAACACTGTTCCTGAAATATAGCTCACATTTCTCTAAACAGACCTTTTGCTGCTAAAGCTGCTAAAGATTGTTTTCGTTATAAGATTAGAAATTGCCAACTGTAAAAAAAGGGGGGAAGGTCTTCCAATATTTTCATGAAGAAAGAGATGAGAGAGAGGGGGCTCATGGCAGGAACCAGAGCAGAGAAAGATGCCACTACAAGGAATCAAACATCCAGACAGTGATGACACCCAGACTTTAATGGGCACAGACTGGAGGTGAGATTATTGCATTTTGGACTCAAAGTCCAGAAACCACGCGCTTGCGTGTTTATGTGTGACTTATACTTATTATTTGAGGCAATTTTTACCCAAAACTTTTCCACTGAAGTTTGGACTCAAATCTGTCATGTTGATGGAGAACTTTAATCTGTGTAATTTACTCACGTTCACCATATCCCACCAGCAGCACAGCGTGGTCGATCATCCAGGGGTTGCAGAAGATCTTCAGCGGGTGACTGACTCCCTTTCTGTAGAACTACAGAAATGATAAAAAAAAAAGTCAGACGCAATGACAGTATCTGTTAAAAGATTTTGGCTTTTATCAGCTTATTTGGTGATTTAAAAAAATGATGGCTACAGTTTTAACTCCTCCCAACCAGTGAGTGGCACCCTCATACTCACCCACTCTGTCCTGCACTGTTTGCCTGCTGGCTGCTAGGTGCACTAATGCTACGTTCCGACCGCAAGCAGCTGCAGAGGCAGCAGAAGCAGCTAGTTTACATGCAAAGTCAATGGTTGACACGCATCAAAGCACAGCCAAACGTCCCACAGCGCGTTTTGAGCAGCAGAAGCAGCGCCTGATGGGCTTCTGAGCATCTGACGCGCATGACAGGCTTCACAAGCAGCAGCTGCTGGAGTTGAAAAAATTTTAGTTTTTGTTGTTCACCCGGCCCCTTCACCTATTCGGGGAGGTTGTTTTGGGGGTTGGCGGGGGGTTCCCCGGCCTTGTTATTGCGGTTTTTTTTGTTCCTTCTTTTGAACCGTTTTTTTATGGCTTAATTGAATTTAAATTTCGAAATTTTGTTGGCAAACCTTTTTCATTTTTTTTTTTTTGTTTTTTGCATTTTGGTTGCGTTCCTTGAAAAACGCCTTATAGCCGCCGCGAACAGAAGCAGGAAACTGCGAAGAGGCGACCAGGCCAGAGGCTGCTGTTGAACAGGATTCCTAATGACAGCGCAATGCAGGTGTATGGGCATCTGAGCGGGTCCAACAGCGAAATAATATTTGAAGGCAAGATCGTAATCTTAATGAACTGACTTTCTCAGGTGGATTTTCTCACTTAAAAACATATTAAAACTGCTTTTTACCCACATATAATGATAAATATAGCAAAGCCGCTCTCTGCCATTGAACACAGAAGCAACAGACGCATTTGGACACACTTTACTGGACAAAAGCATCAAGGACGCTCTTGACGTGCATCCGACCTTTATGTGTACAAGAATAAAAAATGAAGCAGCACGCGCGTTTTTGCTGTCTCTGCTGCATGCATTCTGAACGTAGCATAATGCTAATGTTAACTATTGGTTAGCATTAGCAGATATTTAACTTACCTCTTCAGAAGAAAAGCAACAAACTCTGCATAGTTTCTAATCCTTTTGCTTGCAAAGCTCAACAGCTTGATGTTTACCACTGTTTTGCTTGTTTTTTTTTTAAATTTGAGAAATGTGACACAGAGAAAAATCATTTCTCCACTCAGTCATGGAGCTATTATCACCCGGAGCTCCGTCTGACGTGACTTCAATCTATTATTCCTACTGCTGCAGAATCCTTTGGTGTCAAACTCGACATCATGACCAGAACTAAATATTTGTGTATTTAGGACCTGTCAAAATGTATCAAATTATTTATGTGCTATATATATTTATTTTCATTAAAATTAATACTTTTATTTTGAACCACAGCAGAAACTGTAGATAAATTACTATTAATATTAATGAATGTTTTGATAGAAAGCTGTAGCTCTCACCTTTAAAGGCCAAAAGCTAAAACTAAAAACTATACAGATGGAATTAATAAGTGAAAATATGAGAATAAAATTCCTCACCTGCATTGCAAAAGCATTCAGAGCCACAGAGATCGGTCCGTTCTCAGCCAACCAAGCTGCAATTTCTAAGAAGAAAATAAAACTATTTTAAAAAATCCTGTTTGTTTAATGATAATTCTCTGTTCAAGTCACAGATATTGAGTCTAACCCTTCTCATCTTTGGAAATCTCCACCGAGCTGTTGATGTAGGCCGCCACCTTCCTGTCAGTGAAATCACACGTCTGCTTGTGTCCTTTATAGGAGTAATCTGTTTCAGTCTCTAGACCGCCTTAAGATTACAACAGGGACAAAAAATTAATAAATATCAAGAATAGGACTTATTTTCATATTGTATGTTCAAACTTTCTAAGGGAATCGGTTTCTTACCCAGCTTTTCAATGGCTTCATAAGCATTGGATGGCAGTCCCCCTCTGCATGCCTGGTCCAGTCTGTCACAGTCCACCAGCTCTGCACAGGAGACGGTTATGACTGTTTACACTGCAGCTCTATGAGTTTATCTTCAGCTTTTATCATTCTTCATCTGTCAGGATGAGTTACCCTGCTCTGAAAGCGACAGCAACGTTCCATTTTTCAGGAACCACTGGCCTTCGATGTTTCCTGTGACAGAAAAGGCCCAACAGGATCCACACATTCCCTGTAAACACAATGAGGGTGGGAAATATGCCTCAGCCACTTCACTTCTTTCCCTGTGAGGGGGGTGAGCCTTCAGTTATTGTAAAGAACTCACTTGGTTCTTCACAGGACTAACAGCTCCACGATCCCTCCAGTCCCAGCTTTCAGGGGCGGGGCCTTTGGCAGGGGGGGCAGGTTTCATCTGACGATGGAGAGTCCACTGACTAAGAAGCGGGTTCAGGTATGTGGAACGAAACTCCTCCTCTGGATAAACACAGAGGGAGAAAATCTGAAAACTAAACCTCTGTGTTACTAAAAGACATCATCTTGAAGCGAGGCTGCTGTGTTTTAAGCAGAAAGCATAATTTCAGAGTTTGAATCTACTATTGCAGTTAACCTGCCTGCAGAAATCATAAAGACCAAAGTAAACACCTGCTCATATCTTGGGTTATTGTGTGATTTTTAATGTTGCGTCGCTGGCTGTGCAGATGCTACTACAATTTACACTGGTGTAAGTGGGGTGGCCAGTGGGGGGCATTGCACAGGGTGGCCGTGGCCACCCCTGGCCACCCCCTGATGGTCACACGTACCAGTTAGGTCACTGAACTTGGTGACTCCGTACTCAGCAGAACCTTGATCCAAAGACTGGAGCTTCTCAGCTGTTTTCAGGTTCCGGTGGAAGATCCGCAGACGTCTGTCAGCCTCTGGCAGGAAAACACGCAAAGAAAATGGTTTTCTTTCAACCATAGAAGACATTTTTAATACTTTTTAGTAGGGATGCAACTAATTAATATTTTGCAAACCGATTAATCTGTTGATTATTTTTTTTCGATTAATAATCGGATAGCCAAAAGTTCCTTAAAGAAGATTTTATTAAATTAAACCAGGTGAAACTAAAACTTTTCCACTTGAGGAGGATCGAGATAGAGCATATTGACAGATAAAGAGCTTTTTTATTATACATTTTTTTTTACAATCTTGGTATAGATACTGCTCTAAGTGGGTCGCTCTGTCAGCTAAAGGCTGACAGAGCGACAGAGTTTTTAATATTCTTTTTTGTTTCTGCATTTTTTATTTTATTTTATTTTTATTTTTTTTTATTTGGTTATTAGACATTATAGTTTTTTTTATCGTTATTCCTTTGTTTATCTGAATGCGCAAAATTGAACAGCCTGAAAACTGGAGCGGAGTTTTTAAAATTTTTTTTATAAAAAGCGCACAGCTTTACTGGAGGAGAGAATTTTCTTTTTTTATTTTGTTGCAAAAATATCACCTTTATAATGAGGGTTTATACAGGAATGAGTAACTCTAATTTAATACTTTGTAATGCTCTTAGAACTAATTTTAATGCCATCAACAAGTACCCATATATACACAGCAAAATATGCAGCCACGTCCCGAATTCCTCATTTTCCAGCCACTTTTGTTAAAAATGTGCATTTTCCCTTTCTTTAGCCTTTTCTCCACAT